GCCTCTAAGCTGCCTTGCCATAGGCCAATGCAGCTTTATTTATCAACCAATCAGAACAACACATATTCACAGCATACAGAAAGACACCCCACAACACTTCATTCTCCCACTTTTGTGTAACTTAGTAAAGAAATAGTCATAACTCTAAAAAGATAACTATGGGATGCCTATATCAGACAAATGTTGACTAGAAACTAAAAGAGGTACATTCCACAATAATGAATGCCAACTCATCACACTAAAACAAAACAAATAACAACAAAAACCCCTGCCTGTATGAATCAAATAATAGATTCAAAGTGAATAAGGTTTTGAAAAATTCTAGACTTGAAAAGGGAGATAGACAAATAAATACACTAGCATATTTGAAGAAATTAACACATTCTCCTAGTAAATTATTAAATATATAGGAAATTATGCATAAATAATATTTAAACGTTTAAACAACTTTTATTTAATATTTATAAATCTTCATTCCTAGCAACTACAGAATATACATTTCTTCCAAATGGACATGGGGATTTTACCAATATACTTCAGAACACTGGATTCTTTGAACAAAATAATTCAATCTGTTTTCAAGGCTGCAGTTACACAGAATATAGTCTCAAATCCAAAAAATTGGAGAGTATTAAAATAGTGAAGTACCACACAGAGAAAAAGTACATATTCATACTTTATGTGCCTTGATTTAAGTTAGAAAAGTAACACATAGAATAAAGAAGAAAACTAGCAATAAAAGAAAGCTAAAACCAAAGGAGATATGGGAAATTATAATATAATAGTAGAATTGGATGAAACAGAAAATAGAAAGCAATAGGCAATGTATCAAAGGGAATGCTGGCTTGTTTTAAAAAAATTAATGAACTTGATACTCTCATATTAATGCTTATACTAAGAAGAGGGGAGGTTGGGGATTTAGCTCATTGGTAGAGCACTTGCCTAGCAAGCACAAGGCCCTGGGTTTGGTCCTCAGCTCTGGAAAAAAGAAAGAAGAGGGGAGAAAATACATATTACCAATATATAGAAAAAAAGAGAGCATCATTGTATAGTCTAAATACAGTAAAAGATGTATTAATATTATAAATAATGTCTTTCAAATATTCCCTAACTTGCATAAATTTTGAGATAAAAAGTTGAGATTGCAATGCAGCCTTCCCAAAGGAAAACAATTTACCCATGGATTAATTTTTCTTTCATTTTTTTAAGGGAATTTTTAATTTCCTCTTTAAGGGAGTTTTTCATTTCATCTTTAAGGGCCTCTATCTTCTTAACATCATTTTTAGGATTGATCTCTTCTGCTTCTTCTGCCTTGGTATGTTCAGGTCTTGCAGGTGTAGAACCACTAGGTTCTGATGTTGTCATATAGGTCTTTATGTTGTTGCCAGTATTTTCACACTGGCGTCTACTCATCTTGTTCTTGGCTCAGTGCAGGTGGTGTCTGTGTCTGAAGGTGCCTCTCTTGTTCTAATTGTTAGTCTTGGTCCACTAGGAGTTCTTGGTTGAATCAATGCTGTTGGGCTCTGTTTCTCTGGGAGCAGCTTAGTCCAATCAGTGTTAGTGGGTTCTGTCTCAGGGAGCAGTTGTTTCCACTTGGTGCAGGGTGGGCTTATGGCTCCAGTGGTTGTTGGGTTCATAGGGGTTGGTTTTTTTGTTTTGTTTTTTTTTGGTAGGGGAGCAGGGAAAGGTAGCTGTCTGGTCCCTGGGACTCTTATGGTTGGGGCCTAGGTGCTAGAGACCTGGTCTGGAGATGGGGGCTTACCTGTTCCCAGTCAGTATAGGGTGGGCTTATGAGTCTGGTGATCTGGCTCGGTGGCTGGGCAGCACCTTCTTTTGTGTTCTCAGGTCACATTTTGCTCATTTGTCAACTTCTCAGCTGATTTTGTTTCCCCAGACTGCAGACTGTAGGATTCTGAAACCTCTCCTGAATGGATCTCCGCTGAGCATGTTGTTTAGTAGGGCAATCTCACCAACACCTCCAAGTTGTTGGATTTCTCAGGATCAGCAGCTGGGCCCTGGGTTGACTTCAGGCAGAATGTTCCAGTCTGTTCTGGTCACATCCCACTGAGACAGCTCCTTCCCTGAGTGCTGGGATTAAAGGCGTCCCTGCTCCAAGCTCTTAATCTCCATGTTCTCATCAACTCCTCAGTGGATAAAAGCTCAGCTTCTGGTCTTTATTAAGACCACACCTCTGCCTCCTCTTCCTCTGCCCCTGTATACCCATGGATTATTTTAATGCTAAATTGTATCAAATTCATAAAATAAAAGAAAAATAATAAAAACTTCATTAGTTACTCTTCTGATGTTATGACAATGTACCATAACCAAATGAGACTGAAGGAAGAAAGAGTTTATTTTTGCTTACTTTTCCAGAGAGAGCATAATGGTTGGGGAGGTATGGAAGTAGACATCCATAGCAAAAAGCTGACAGATCACATCTTCAACTACAAACACCAAGTGGATAGAGGAAACTGGATGTGGGGTAATGCTATGAACTCCTGAATCCCAGCCAAGTGAGTTGCTTTCCATCAGGCCCTCACTGCTTCCCCAACAAGCTCCACAAACTGGGGACCAAGTGTTCAAATATCTGAGCCAATGGGAGACAATTTTCATTCAAACTACCATAAACACCTCATATTAACCTTCATTATATAGAAGAGGAAGAGACAATTCCAAACAATTTGTGAGACTATGGAAACTTGAATGAACTGACCTAACAAGTTTGAATCTCTGGGCCTACTTCAAAACATCTCAGCTTATGGGAAAACTGTTAGGATTAACTCAAGTATAATATTTAGAAAAATCAAGAGAAACACCAAATTTAAATGTACTTCTTTCTCTCATTTTGTATTCAAATCAACATTATTATTTTGAAATTTGTCATCAGTGCTTCCAAGTGACAGGAACTACTCCTGACTGGCTGTTAATGGCAATAGTCTGGAGAAAACAATACTTTTTATTTTCTAACCCATTACCAGTCATACTGGAGACTGAAAAGATGAGACCGACTTCTGAAAGTTCTGTCAGTCAGACCATATGGTAAATGTGATCACAGCAATCAGAGTCGCATTATACCTGTCTAGGTACATTAGGGAAAAGTCATTAAAAACATATTAATAGAAAATATATTTGTCCCTGCAAAGAGACTTCTGTATTACTAACTTCTCTGAAATTTCCCAGGCAATAGGGAAAGGTTTCTCTGTTGTATGTAAGTTTTTCTTTCCAATGCATGTGTAAATTGTCCCAACTGCCCAGTCTTAAATAACTCACTCAGAGGCTGAATATGAAATATAAATGCTCAGCCAATAGCTCAGGCTTGTTACTAGCTAACTCTTACACTTAAATTAATTTGTGTTTTTATATATGCTTTGCCACATGGTGGCATGACACATTCATCTCCTGCTCCCTCAGCATCTGTCTATTGATTCTTTACTACATCCTTCCTCTTCCCATCATTTTTAGTTTGGTCACACCACCTATATTTCCTGCCTGGATACTGGCCAATCCGCATTTTATTAAACCATTTTGAATGATAAATCTTTACAGTGTACAAGAGGATTATTCCATAGCATGCATGCATCCCTGGCAGTGAATCTCCTGATTTTAACATATGTTACAAGGCAATTATGATGAAAATTTCCTCCATTCACTCATCTCATATTTTACTATAAAGAGTGAGAAGAAATCAGGGTGTACTTTCAACACTTTTCCAGGAAATTTCCTTAGCCAAACATCCAAATGCATCAGTTCTTTTCCTCATCTAATGTATTTCACAATTCAGCTAAGTTTTCTGCCACTATATAAGAATAAAAGTAGGGGCTGGGCATGGTAGTAGATCTCTGTGAGTTTGAGGCCAGCCTGGTCTACAGAATGAGTTCCAGGATAGGCTCCAAAGCTACACAGAGAAACCCTGTCTTCAGAAACCATAAAAAATAATAAAATTATTAATTTTCCTCTAATTTTCAACAATGTTCTCTTTATCTGGGCTCTATCTAATAATAACTATAATGTCCATAATTCTCCCCATAGTTTGCTTTAAATGATTTATAAGTTCTAAATGCCAACATTTCTATAAGCACCACATTCCTCACTTCCTTTTGCATTTTCACCAACAGACTTGTTACTATCACATTTCTATCAAGTCTGTTCAAAGCAATTTGAATATGTTCTATTCTGTGCCTGCAATTTCAACTATATGCTTTTTTGAGACAAGGTTTCTCTGTGTAGTCCTGGCTGTCCTGGAACTCACTCTGTAAAGCAGGCTGGCCTCAAACTCAGAGATCTGCCTGTCTCTACCTCAAAAGTTCTGGGATTAAAAGGTGTGTGCCACCACTACTAGTCCTTAGCAAATTTCTTCTTCATATCTTTCTCTTTTTTTGGTGTGTGTGTGTGTGTGTGTGTGTGTGTGTGTGTGTGTGTGTGTGTGTTTTTTCAAGACAGGGTCTCACTCTATAGCTCTAGCTGTCCTAGAACTCACAAGACAAGGGTGGCCTTAAACTCTGCTTCTCACATGCTGGGATTAAACAAATGTGCCACAATGCCTGGCTGTTCTTCTTCATCTTAAGGTAGACTCAACTTTGCTTTTAAAGCCTTTCACTGTTCCTATTAGACCCATCCAAATGATTTAGCATATACTTCCCACTTTCCATTTAGTTTATAAACTACTTCAATTTCATTTGTATTTTATCTTTACAATGTAAAGTTATAGTCATAGGTTCTAGGGATCAGGATTGAATATCTTTGAAGTCATTTTTTTTCTGAATAATTTCTCTTAATCATTCAATACTACATCAATGTATCCATTACTAAAATTTGTTTGGCTAACTAATATTAATTCTGTAATGCATTTTCTTCCAAATTCCTTATCAATCAGAGCAATGTCATCATCCAAAGCAAGCAGATATCAGCATGCTATACCACCAGAAGCTATCCTGAGCCAAGAATTTGGGGTTTACACCAAGATTTCCTCACTACAAAAAGTGATAACAGTAAGAAATATATTATTGTTCCTGGAGTCTATTGGCTTTACAGAAAGTTCTTGAACACAGGCAGTCTGGGAGCAACATGCTAAGTACTCCCATTGGCTAAAGATAATGGAGAGGCTTTTAATCTTTTCTATGTTAACTTATACCAGAAAGAACAGGCGATGTGGATATATTTTTTCATGAGACCATATTTACAGTGAACATCCAAAAAAAGCTTGAAATTACCTTGTTACTTCCTGTTAGAGAATAGAAAACATAATCAGGGAATCTGGAAGAAACAGCATTAATGAATATGAACTGCTACTAAAGAAAACACAAATAAGGCTATTGAAGTCTTAGCCATGCCAAAAAAAACCCCTAAGGATTTCCAATTTTAAAATGAAGTGTGATTTTAAGAAATCATATATTTTTCTGTGTTGTCACAATTCAGGAATGCATTTTTATTTTGGGGGACTTACTATGTCCTATTCATCATATAGTCCAGGCCTAGCTTGAATTCTCTAAGTAGTAGATGACCTTGAATTCATGATAGCCTGCCTCCACGTTTAAATGCTAGGATTACAGGGTGATCCAACCTAGGGCCTCCAACAAACTGTACAGGCACTATATAAACTAATCTGTTCTCCTGTGTCAGGAAACATACTTTTAAAATTAGAATTGTGTTCATTAGAAGAAATTCACATTCTTTGGGAGAGAGTACTGCCAGTTCAATCAGGAACATGAAGTGTCCTGATGTAAAATGCTCAAAACAATACAACTTGAAAAATACTTGTACAGTAAACAAGTTTATAAACAACAACACTACCTAAACTTGTAGAGAAAAGGAAAAACAAATACAGATAAACTTACTACAAAATTTGAAAAGAAAATGCAAAATCAAAAGAGACAGAATTATACAGCCAGGGAAACGTGAAGTTTCACATGCCTAAAATACTTGGGAAGGGTGGATTATCTCCTGATTGCCCACCAGAGTTTTGGTCTAGAATATTGGAAAACACAGGCTTTAGGAATCTGAACTCATTACTCTGAGAGTCTCCAGTCAGACACACCTCATACTGGTAGCTCTGGGACAGGGTCCCCGCGCCACTGACATCCACCAGGTGACCAGGATAGTGTCCCTCAGGCACAGAGCAGCCACCCAGAGAGGCCGCCCTGGCCCTCCTGCACAGCCTTACCCCCACAAACAGCAGCACAGACAAGAGGAAGAGGGAAGACACAGAAGCCAAGGCAATGACCAGGTACAGTGTGAGCAAATCGTCATTGTCATGCGCAGGGTCGCGCGCCACCTCTGGCA